ATCCCCTCATACACACTCACAGACAGAAACGGAGATTTTAAAGCAAGAGGCAATGGACGCGGGGTAACAGCATGCTCATCGCGTCGACTGATCCGTTGTTGGATTTTGTGCCTACGCATGAAGGCTACACATAGCGAGCGAAATTTACGGTAATAAAGGAGTCTATAGCATTGTCGGCCCATGGTTGCAGGCCAATCAGTCGAACGACCGATCGCTGGCGGGTACGTAGGCACTTTCACTTGCGAATTTGCTTTACCAGCTCTCGAAACGGCGCATATATTGATCCATATATATGCGCAAGGTATATGTAACTGGCAATGGTGAAGTTTTCGACCTAAGTGCATGAAAACAAGGATGTATATATAAGTGCTCACATGTATGCAGAGCTACGCTCAGTCGATCGCCGCAAAGTTAAAGGAAGCTTTTTCTTTAGAAAAAAAACTCACACAGCTGTAAACCAGTATTTAGAGTAATTGTGGTGTTTTCATCGTAAGTCGAAAAGAAAATTTGATGAACACTCATTGAATGGCTATATTCTATATAACCTTTTATATTTTATATAGCCCTTAATAGGTTTTTTTGTTATAAGACCATTACCTCATATATAATAAGCGCGCCATTTGTCATGTTCCTATTTCGGCGCAAAGAATTGTAGCCTTCCTAAATTAGGTTTTTATAGTGACCCACTACGTCATTCCACGCTTTGTATCACTTCAAGGTGCTGATATTGTCGAACTTATTCCATCTCTGCCGCGTAACAAACACATTGGCTGTTATAAATGTCTATAAGCTTAAAGTTGCTCGCACTTAATTAAATATCTATTTGTGTATCATTCTACGATGTAAGGATGTAACAATCTGCGAACTGTAGGCTCTATTGTGTAGTGGCCACCAGCAACGCTTGGCGCCATGCCCTGTCAGAAGCGGTCAAAAAGCCATTTGGTTTTGCCGATGTTGGGTCATCTGCGGGTTTATATATATATATGTATATAGGTATTACGATATCCTGTTGATGATAGGTCAAAATTAGTTAACACTTTCTTTAACCTCGCTCTGGATAAGTCCTATTTCCTTGTCAATCTGGCTGAAAGCAGCGCCGAACCCAGCAGTGCTACATGCGTTACATGAGCATATTTACGCAAGCCTACACACACTCACAGGTACAGTTGGCTCCTTATGAAGGCAAATAAAGACTTAATTGTCGGGAACCTAGCGGGAAAAACGTTTTTGCTTCTCTTGAAAGGGCGCTAATGACCTGGTAGAAAACATCAACATTTTGTTCGATTGTCGTTGGTCGAATTTGTCGCTACTAAATCGGTAGAGGGACTCAAGTAACCTCGTCGCCGTTGCTACTGCTGCATCTTTCGTACCGCAAGCATTGCCTTAACTCGTTTTGAACAGATTAATATTGTATTATTTCGCTCCGCTAGCGCCACAAGTAACTCTACCACGATTACTACAATGTCTACCGACGCCAGCTAGCATCTGCGTCAGCTTACAGCCATCAACCCCTGCCGCTTGTATAAGTTGTTCTACGTCCGCCCATACTGCTGTTGTATGCTCTCTCTGCTAGCTGCCAGTTTCCTTTTTCGCTGGTGTCGCTGGTTTTCTTCCTTGTCATCCTGCATTCCCTTCGTCTAAGCTAAAACATACCGTCCGTTGCTTGTGCGTAAATCTCAGCTAAGTTATCCTGCCTTCTTGGTTTACCTCCTACCAAACCTCTAAGACGTACCCTTAGTCGTTTCGATCGCCAGCTTTCCTTTTTACGGCAGCTCCTGCCTTGAGGCCTTCTCTCTCATTGGCTTTTCCTTACCGTTTTTCACTTCGCCTCTGCATTGAAGTTGCCGGTACGATGGTTGCCTCTTTCACACCGATTGTTCTCGAATGCCAACAATGGTAGCAGCGGCTCTGTTACCATTACCTACTTTGAACGTGTCTGTTAAACGAACGACCCGAAGGGAATTGGGCTGGGCACGGTAGCCGCAGCCGACGCGCAGAAGACCTGAACAAGCCACCCGTTTCTCGCGGCGTATCATACCCAAGCCAAGTCTTACCTAACCCAGCGAGCTAACAAGCCTCTAGCCGACCAGCGACGGTTAGCGGTAGCCAGACCGGCCGCAGCCGAGAAAGTAAGGCAAGTCTGAAGGGCTAACGACGAAAAAGCGAAATAAAGGGAGTAAAAGAGAGAAACTGACTTCTCGCGACTGGGTCCCGCCTTCCTTCGTTTGCTAGCGAATGCAATCCGTCTTGTAGTGAGCCCATACGCCTCATAGCCCTTTAACTAAGAGAGTCAGAAAAAGAGTGAGGGTCTTGACGGTACGAAGGAGGCACAGCCTCCACACGAACCGTGGTTTTGGCTAGTCCGTCGGGGGGGGGGGGGGGGCTTCAACGGTCTCGACAAGTCACAAGCAGCCACTGTAGCAACGAGGCGTCGAAGCAGCAGGAATAGTCAGAGTGGGCGGTGGGCCGGCGAAAAACCTCGTTCATTCCTGATAAGCGTATATAGCTTACTAGCTACAAAAGAAAAAGGAAGAAGCTCTATTATCGCTAGACAACAGTTGACACAGCGGCAAGAATAAAACGTAACACACGCCCTGTCGCTGTTGCCGCCGCAAGCTTGTTCCTGTGTTGCAGCTTGCTTGCCTACTTCTGTGTTTATGTGCATGAATCCTTCCTGTAAGTACCTGCACGCGGCCCTGTATGGGAATAACTGATCTTGAGAGTAATGTAAACTTGTGGAGATGCGTAAATTGAGGCTATTCATGTTAACACTACCGAACAAATTGTCCTGTTTGTCGTTAGCTCAAATTTTGATTATACCGATCCACTAAACAGAATTTAAGTTGCAGATGAAACCAGTTCGCGGACCTTATAAAAGCCAATAGCTTGTTTAATACGATCTTTGTGGCGTAATAGGATAATGTAAATACATTAATTTACTATATTGTTCTACTATGCCTGGGCTTTGAGATAACTACTTTATCATCAACTGTTATATTAATCGAAAAGGTTCGCAATCTAGACAGCATAATATATGTATATATATAAGCGCAATATACAACAAGTGATACCAAGCAGTATCTACCGTAATGTCTTGAGAAAAGCCAAATCAAGCTTCTTCACAACAACGGGTACAAAGCACTTTAAATATACAGTAGACGTCTTTGTTTCGCCCGCTTTTTGGAATACTGAACTAAATTGCTGTGAAGATCCGTGTATTTTCTGATTCTTTATGCGATAATTAGGCTCTACGTATACATACCACACGAGCTTTACTTATTGTGTACATCCGCATCGATTCAAACTTATAAGGCCAGATTTTGAAAGATTACAGTTTAAAGTCTAATAAAGCCAAAGCAAAAAAACGATCGCAAAAAAGAAGTAAGTGAAGATTCAATAACCGTATAGGTACATAAGTATGTATCTCAGCCCAACATGGATCTTTCTTAGCGGGTATAAAAGCTTGCGAAATACTGCTTTGAAAAAAATCTTGACGGAAGCTATTCTCGTCTTTTATTCATTCAATTTCTCCCTTTGATTGCAAAGATATCGGCCTCTATTATTTCTATGGCTGTCCTTTTGCTTTAGCATAAAACGTGGTAGCGAACTCATCTTTATGATCCCAGAAGTGCAATTTATGGATCCGAACAGTATGCAACGGTGAAGAACAAGCGATCTTTTTTGTCCCTGGATATTTCATAGGTAGTTGAAAACTTTAGCAGATTAGAGAAAACGAATAAACAAAGCGGTTTATCTAGCGTTTGCCTATAGTCAAACAAAATTTATAAGGCTACGCAGATGTATTCACGCAATTATCAACGTTAACTAACTAGGGAAGTTAAGAGGATCTAATTTTTTTTCTTATGAGTTGTTCCCAAACTGTATCTAAACAAAAATTGACATTTTAATAAAAATCTTTGCATATGATAGAGGTCTCATTCCTAGCCGTCACGTTTATTCAGTATAACCACCATTCACTGCAATAAAAGTTTCAATTCAAAACCTCCACTATTCACTAGTCATCTCCAAAATATCCCTCCCTTAATCCGCAGTGAACTTTTTAATAGTAACCGCGTTTCAGATATGATTAGTAGTTATCAACTCACTTAAATATCATCCAAATACGCTACTTATAATAAAACTAATGGACTTAAATTTTGGGCTCAGAAGAACTAAACGATAACCCTAAAAATGTAAAGGCTTGGAGGAAAATTTCCAAAAGGTGCAAGACCCGCAAAAGGTTTTTAAAAGACTGACCTTATCTGTGCGCCTCAACTGACAACAAATATTGTCCTCGCCAAAAACGGAAATTCCCTTCTTTGTAAAAACCTAGGTGCATTACAAATTACCTTTTAGGCCTTAATGAACCCTTTCAATCTCAACCCTATTTAGAATTTTTAGGTCTGACTCATGTAAGTCTTTTTCGGATTTCTCAGCAGCCGCTAAAAATGTCACTAACGTAGATCATCAATTTCGGGCAAAAAAGGAAGGTTTCGATCCTGGTGCAAATTAGTCCCGCCTAAGGGCACTGTATAGTAACTGAAATACAGAAAACGGCGCACTGTCTTTACCATGATAAGTTGTTTTCGAGCACCGACGACAGCGAATGACCGTCTGCTCGAACTCGAATGCTCCACTTTGTATAGTAGGCTAACAGGTATTTAATGGGTGAGGTCAAGTTGTAACTTTCTTTACTGAGAACTGTGAAATAAAGCTGACGTCAAGCATGTTAAGAGCATACGCCCATGCAGACGGATAAATCAGTCTAAAGTATTTTAGTTTCCCGGTTAAATGGACACATAGGCAAATTGTCGTAGTCTAATACCATAGGAAACATGCCACTAAAAGGGTCGCTCTTTAAAACGAAAATAACTTGTTACCTATTCAAATATGCCTAAATCTTACATAATTAACTTACATTAATAACTGTTACAGTCGCTTTCGTCGCTCTTGTAATTAACCGATAGCGAATGGTATCGATTGGTTCGACTGTTTCCTAGGTGCGGCTGATCGAGGTCCCGGGGGTGCAAGCAATGCTGGAATCGGATCTCCATCAGCAGTCGCATCATCGTCGAGTTCATCCAATCTTCCACCAGCCGGCGACGGAAGCCGTGATAGCAGCGGCCTTTTGCCCGTCCTTGTGTTCATCCACGGTGAATCATTCGAGTGGAACTCGGGCAATGCGTATGACGGCTCAGTGATCGCTGCTAGGGGACACGTGGTCGTCATCACTCTGAATTATCGCCTTGGCATATTCGGTTCGTATCATACGGTTATGCTCACATGCTATATAGATCTACATACAATATATCGAGAAAGATAAATACATAGAGAACCCTCAACAATAGGCCAAGAGCGCGTGAGAAGTACTGTGCACTGAAGACTCAGGAGGCCCGTCGACAAAGAGCGGGCTCAGCGAATAATCATATCTGCTGGGCCTTATAGACAGAGAGAAAATACGCAGGAAACACAGGCAACTAAAATGATACAGAATTACGTATTTTATACAACACATGGTCAAGTCTGAAAATTGTAATCCGTTTAATCAACTTGAACTAAAACTATGATGCCGGACATCACATTATCGCTAATATTGGACTGGCCTATAGCAGTCTGCTCTAATCGCATTATGGTGGGCCCGCTACTTTCAAGTTCTGTCATTTTGATACACGAAGATTTCGACAGTACCTTTTTAGCAGCACGCCTGTTTGCATAGACATGTTCTTTATTTTTTTGTCTTCTTTAACTGTCTAGCTCTATGACTTATGTGGAACGTTATATCTGTTAATGATGCAAGTTTGACACTACAATGTCCAATCGATATATCAGAATCGTACGTGCGTATCCGTTTGGACGGTGACGTCTGAGGTCTGAAAGTCACTTAGAGTCAATGCTCTCACGTGTTGAGAGCTGTGAGCTCCATTCGCGGGCATCGACAGAAGAGACAAAAATTTATCTTATTTTATTTTATATTAGTATAGTTTCGTGTGGAGTGCAGCAGTTGTGTCAAGCTATTTACACTAAATGGACGCCAAGGTGGGCTGGAAGTATGAATTAGTGTATTAAAAGATAAAGCAAGATGCTATGCCCGCATCTAACACGGTATGCTTAAATCAAGGGTAAGCACTGATGATATAGTAGCAGACGGTAATTCGAGAATGAAACCTATATTTTGTACTTACGAAGTAAGTAGAGATGTTGTGGAGTGGTACTTGTTTTGCCATTTTTTTTTAACTCGTTGGTTACAACATAGCCAAGCATTTTCTACAATGAGCGAACAATAGCTTCTAGCAGTATTACTGAACGATACCTTCTTGAGAGGCTATATGAGAATCCATCTTCATTTCTAGACTCAAGTCAAGCTACATTAGTTAAGTTAAATATGCGTCTTCTTCTATTGTTTTTGTATTACATGGCCGTTTTTTTTTTATAGGACCAAGTACGTAGCCTTCTCTAATGTAGCTATATTCTTAGATATCTAATGCGTGGAGCAGGTCACATGGCTTGTTTTAACATTAAAGTCTTAGAAAAGCTTCTAGAGATGCACTTACTAACACAGCTGCGTCAGTGGACGCGGGCTTAACGGACGCTCTTGTACAACGTTGCAGAGTCTGTATAACCTACAGAGTGTGTCTGCAGAGAATTACCTTTAGAGAACCACTTGACTGCGTCCAGAGAACGCGTATATAAAAATTGAGGTCACCGACCGAGGTGTTTTCAACATAGCAGTATGTATAGTATTTTATTGCAAATTAAATTCAGTTCTATTTTGACGGGATATATACCCTACCGGTAAGTTTCAGGAAAACAGAGATAGCTACATATGAGCAAGCTGTGCAAATTGGCAAGCGAATAACGCAACAATGAGAAAAAGGCTTTGGAAGGAGACGGAATGGTTTCATACGGGAATAAAGACAGCTTAGCTGACTTTTTTTTTTGCATAGCATAGAAAAGCTGGCATAAATTACGGGTTGTTCGAACTCAGCTTCTTTTATATAATAATCTGCTCTGCTAAACGATACACAAAAAATACCACGGTCTCCCAGATTAGCTCTAAATGGCCAAAAAAAACTATGTGAAAAGTTTAAAAAAAATTCAGTTAATATCACAAAGTTAATAATATATTTAATTAATAATGAATCTAGTGGTATTAATTTTTATTAATAATAAAAATCAATAAAAGGTATCATAAACATTAGCAAATAAAATAAAAGCGAATAAAACATAAATAAATTAATAAAGTTAATATAATAATGAAGACGTTTTTAGTTATAAAGGGCGTCTATATAACTATTCCAGTCAGACCTATCCAGTCAAGTATTGGCAGGTAGCAGAATAGAAACGTTTTTTTACAGGCCTGCTTTATCGGAATAATAAAATGTACTCATAGTTCAGAAAACGCAACAGACCCATAAGATATTATTAGTCCGTACAGGATTTGTTTTAACGGCTATTGTTAAACGAAACTTATACCTTAGAAGAGAGGCAATATCGCCCCGTATGCTTTATGAAGAAGGCAGTCCCCCGTGTACTTGTCTGTTGCGAAATTAGTTAAGATACTGGTTTTCTGCAGTACCTTCTTCGCTGGCACAGGAACCTAGGGACGAATTATATAGTTGATATCTTTAAGCCGGATTTATGTTGTCGGCGCAGTCTACGGCCACAACTACAATCATAAAGAGCCAAGGACCATAGAACTGCGCGATTATTAAATTAAGGAGGTTTCAATACCTGCGTAGTTCCTGATAGCCAAGGCTCCGACTTTTACTTTCTCATTGCATTCGAGTCTTTTTGTAAACACATTTTGTTATTATATTACTATATTATTTGTAAAACGGCAATGGATAATTGAAAATAGCTGATGACCTTGTAGACACCGTCAACTTCATATTGCATGATACCTTACTGAATAGAAAGACAGATGTTAGAATTGGTTTTGTGAATGAGCGCCCTGCAATATTTAATTCTACTCTCTTAAAGAAAACTCTGTGACAAATAAGTATCAGTTCATCATCAAAGGTTCAATTGGACAAGTGTTATTGTTAAATAAGTTAGTTAAATAAGTAACTTGCAAATGTCAGCGCGTTTTAAATATTGGACGCTTTTAGCAAGTTTGATCACTTAGTAAGAGATAAGAATCGTTCCGTTTTAATAAGTAAAAATTCAATCTATTTTTTTTTTACATAATTATGACAGCGTAATATGAAGGAAGTTTGACATGTACAGGAAGCGATGCAGGCCACAAGTCGTATTCACTTATTCGACAGAATGAGGGCTATCGGGCCATGGTATATTGGACTTGTAAGACAATTTACAATTGAACTTGCTAATGTATTTTTTTTTTTTGTCATAATTTTAACGCTACGTATAGGTAGTATAATTAATTTGTAAGATTTGAACAATATTGGCAGATGTCCTTTTAAAGTAGTTGTAAAATCCCGACATTTTATTTAAACGGCAGCTAAAGTCGATCCTATTTGAGCTAATATACAGCGCTTGATTAAATAGACAATGGCATATATTGGAACGTTCCTTGATAAAATCCGTCGTACAAATGAAGCATAACATCTACAATGGGTACGTGCGAAACTCTTCTTATTTTAACCATTCTTAGGCGTTCTATAGCGAACACTACACAACGCCGTCGAAATAATATCCATCTTCCTAGGAAAACGTGAAGATCATTCACGCGTAATCATTTGTTTCCGATTTCGACTGCTGTCTGATATCTACCGTATTAAAGTTTCAATCGAAAATACCGCATATTACGACGCCTCACGTCTGATCATTCGACCCTTACGAGGTAATTGTTGCGTTAGCTCATTGACATAATACTATTATTATTGTATGTTATCTTTGAATTGGCCATACCCTGCCCTCGACTCGGTCAAAATTAAATCTAGTCAATTTTTTAACTATTACTACTCTTTCAAGACCCCAACAGTATATAACTGTAATACCATATATTGAAACGTCAAATTATGACAGTGTAAATATATATATATGTGTGTGTGTGTGTGTGTGTGCGTGGAACAATCACTATGTTTACCAGCTTCAATAGATAGCTTTCATTTAGACAAATAGATACCCGTTTATATATAGTACGTAATCAGCAAGAACAGGCTTTTTTCGTCTTCAGTGTATTACCCCAGCCCGTTGTTCTTGGCATTCCCTACAAATCCTCCGTGGGTCTTCCCAAATGTTGCGCTCACCAACCAATGAAATATTTTTCCTAATGTCATCCGTGACTCCCTTGGGGCTCATTCCATGTGCGACTTTTACATGAGGACGGCAGTCGGCTCTAACGGCAGTGGCGATGCAGTGGAAAGAGTAGCGCGTGTGTGGGCCACACTCGAGAGGTCTGGTCGCGTTCCCTAAACATGGGCACTACCTGTATATATACGCGTATACGAGCATCCTTTTTCTCCTTTTATATATATATATATGTATGTATATATATATGTACGTATATATATATATATATGTATATATATATATATATATATATATATATATATATATATATATATTAACGTCTAGGTCCCCTTTGGCGTGTCAAAGAGGCGGAAGGAAAGGCTTTGCGTTTTGCCTCTTCTGCAACTCGTCATTGCCGTTGCCCTTTGTAAGCGTTTATCCGTATGTGGCCGCCTGCCTTTGTCGCGGTCAGAAAACAGCCGAACCGTAGATTGTTCCCAGCACGTACGTACACTACTCTCAGATGTAAGACGTGTGGACATGCACGGCCAGCCAGCGATACTTACACAAACAAGCGCCCGTACAGGCAAACCGACAAGACCAACCAGTCAGAGAGCCAAATACGCAGCCAAACCTTGGTAGAAACCTACTTGCAAATTTTTCTTTACTACACACAACGGAATGCACGACGACTTCCGGCGGCGGCATGTTTTTGCGTCGAAAAGCGAGCAATGGCAGAAGCGGCCGTAGAACCAGCCGTTAAAGTCATTTGACTAAAAAGAGGGCCACACCCTAGGTTGTTTCCTTTTCTTTTCACAATCCTGCCTTCTACCGCTAATAACGATATGCGCACGGAGACATAAATGAAGACAAGCGACTCAGAAAAGTAGGCAAAATTCCGGTACCGCTATTTCAAGCGACCTCAAAAACCCGCAGCAGGGTGCTAGGGGAGCAGAAGAACGCGCCGTGAGTCAAAGCCCCGCAACCGAGTAGGCCGCGAGAGCAAGGAGTGGAACTCACAATTTACGAATATATTCGTACTACAAATAAAGATCTTCACTTG